CTCCTTGTCGAAGACTAGAAGTGGGCCTTGTGGAGCTTCTATGAAGCATCTCAACCCTCATACACGAGTGGGCCACTGTGGAGCTTATATGAAGCGTCTCAACCCTCATACACGAGAGTCCGCTGATATATATTGATGTAGCGATCGTGGTTAGCGATCGAGGGTACATGTTTTTGTGGTTTGGAAACAGGCCGAGAGGGAGATTTACACGGGAGGAGATAAAGAGATATAATAGAGTTAAACTACTTCTATCTACTCTCTAAACTTGGTACACAAGATATTAAACAGGCCCAAGGCAACCTATGGTATGTATCAGGTCTAACTCAGTGAGTGTTGCTATCCTACAACAGTATTTTTTTTTAAATCTCAACTCTGAAAGTCTAGCCGGGGCATATGATTTAGATTGTCCCAAGCCTCATAGACTAGCCCATCAGTTTACAAGCCCACCAATTGCTGAAACATAGTACACATGCAACAATTCATATATATATATGTTTGCCCAGTGCTTTTTCACTCTTAAAAAATATGGCAAGTTCGATGGCACAAGTAAACTTACCAAAGATTGCTATACACATTTGGCTAATGTGACCCTTTAGGGTGGCGAGCTCTTGAGACGCTAGCTCCAGCTTTGACTCGGCCTCTTCTGCACGTTTCAACGGTGTCTTTTTCTCCAAAGCGAAAGAACTCTTGGTTTTTCTTCAAATGTGTCACTGCGAGATAACACGGACTCCTGGAAGTCAGATGAAAACTTCTCAGCAGTCTATTGTTTCTCCTTTTCAGCCTTGATTTCAACTCGGCTATTTCATTGCTGGCTTGAGTCAGCATAGCCTGCACACATAAGAATTGGATTTATGACAATATTTCCAATAAGGTCCCAAGTCACCGCAGGCTTGCGACCCGGCACTTGGGGGCTAGGGAATATCAAAAAGTCAACCATATCATTGCCGATCTAGGCAAATACACACGATCGTGTTAAGATGTCACCTGGTCCCGTTCCAACGCTCCATGATGTAGACTCATGACACCATATCCATGCAATGTTATTCCGCTCTCATGATCCTTTTGTCGCCTCCTATTCTATATGGTGACTAGTCAAGTTCTAGCTGACAGCTTGCTTCTCATTTTCAGCCTAAAAGCTCAATTCCAATTGTTTCCTAAGATTTAAAAAATTCTTAGTTTATTGCCATACTAGAGATTAATTGGTTTTAGTTCAATTCAATTAATATAAACAGGCGATGGAAAGGGGTCAAGAGGCACATGATGCCATGAAAGTGTTCGTATTTTATATGTATGTTGCATTTAAGGACTTCCCTTAATTTCATATCAACATTTCCATGTTCAGTTGTG